CAGCCAAGAGCGAAATCATGAAGGGAGACAAGCTTGGAAGACAAGCCAGCAGAGGCAGCCAAGAGCAAAATCATAGACAGGGCAGAAATCATGAAGGGAGCCAAGCTTGGGAGACAAGACGGCAGCGGCAGCCAAAAGAAAAATCATGAAGAGAGACAAGCTGAACAGACAACGCGGCAGCGGCAGCCAAAAGCGAAATCATGAAGGGAGACACACTTCACAGACAAGGCGGCAGCGGCAGCCAAAAGCGAAATCATGAAGGGAGTGACAAGCTTGGGAGACAAGGCGGCAACAGCAGCCAAAAGCGATTTTTTCGATTTCTCTTCATCACCGATGGTATCGGTGCCATGGGGCTTACGTGTTTTCACACGGAGGTCGCTGCCTCGCGCCGCTGTTCATGGGGAATTCTGTACTTTCCAAAATCATACAGCTCGGGCTGCATGAAACAGTCACTCACTCAGGTCAGCAAGCCAGTCACCAAGGCTTGAAGCTCGTCGCCTCGAACGGGGTGGTTCAGCTGCAGCATTGAAGAGGGCCGCGGAACCACGCGCAGTGCCATAGATGCTACCACGCTTGCTCAGCTCATTCAGGAAGTAGTCTTTTGCAATGGCCATGTTCATCACTGTTGGACAGGTGTGGTACGGAAGCTGTTTGGACTGTTCTCCAAAAACCGGGATGGCCTTGCAAAAAAGGCAAGGGGTTTCAACCGTTTTGTGATCGATCCCTACCCATTCCATGGTGTTCAACAAAGTCTTTCGGCATGGACTATGGCGCCGAAAGACGTGTTTCGCCAAGGAGCCGGCATCAAGGAACAGCTGGGCACATGCTCCACAGTGCAAGCTGAAGTATTTGGTGAGATTCTCATTGGCCTCCAGCTCTTGCCAACGGTGTTGGCTCACATAGTCCATCAACTGGTGGACTCGGGCATCATGTCCTCTTGCATAGTGTTGTGGCTTCACAGACCGCAGGCGAGAGGAGCGGATGAGCCAAATGCATACCCAGTCCGTGGCCTTAGGAGCAGCTCCCTCTGCAAGCAGGCTTGCTTCGACTCCGTCATTGAAGATCAACCATTGACCTTGGTGCAAGCCAGCACATTGCAGGTGCCCCTGCTTATCCAGTCCTCGATGCAGGATGCCTGCAATGGGTGTGTATTCAAAGCTCATGGTGGACAGGGAGTCCTGCTCAGGAGAGATTTGGATGGTCACTGGTCCAAGGTCCAAGTGCCACGCTGCTTTGGTGGTTTCACCTAAGGCATTTGTGTCAAATCGATCAAGCTGGAAGCAAATCAACGGACTGTCATGTTCGAAGGCGGTGATCATTCCAAGATAATCCTGCCATTCATTGATCATTGACTGCAACGAGACCTTTTTCTGCGCAGGATCACTGGTGACCAAGGAAGGCGGCATAAATGCTGTACCTCGGTCTTGAACCTGGATTGTCCCCTCAGTCTGAATCTTTCTGATCCAGGAACCGGTCAGTGCAGGAGGACAGACATAGGCAAGAAAGGCCTTCAAAAATTCGGACCCATCATGCTGTTGTCCATCATCCCAAGAGCTGATCCACTCAGCCCACGGCTCCAGCTCACGGACATCAACCCAAAGTGAGTCCCGGCAACAAAGTGCGATCAGAAGTTTGGCTGCCCCCCCAAGATCAGCCCAGTTGCAGCATCGTAGATGCACAAAACCCCAAAAGAAGGCCATCAATGTGGCATGAATGTAGCATAGATTGTCCGGATTGATGAGCCGCAAGGCAATGAGCACACCCTTTATCTCCAAGAGCAAAATCATGAAGGAAGACACACTTCACAGACAAGGCGGCAGCGGCAGCCAAGAGCGAAATCATGAAGGGAGCCAAGCTTCACAGACAAGGCAGCAGCGGCAGCCCAAAGGGAGACAAGCTTGGGAGACAAGGCGGCGGCGGCAGCCAAAAGCGAAATCATGAAGGGAGACAAGCTTGGGAGACAGGCGGCAGCGGCAGCCAAGACCGAAATCATGAAGGGAGACAAGCTTGGGAGACAGGGCGGCAGCGGCAGCCAAAAGCGAAATCATGAAGGGAGACAAGCCTGGGAGACAAGGCGGCAGCGGCAGCCAAGAGCGAAATCATGAAGGGAGACAAGCTTGGAAGACAAGCCAGCAGAGGCAGCCAAGAGCGAAATCATGAAGGGAGACAAGCTTCACAGACAAGCCAGCAGAGGCCTAGGCCAAGAGCGAAATCAGCCAAGAGCGAAATCATGAAAGGAGACAAGCTTGGGAGACAAGGCGGCAGAGGCAGCCAAGAGCCAAATCATGAAGGGAGACAAGCTGAACAGACAAGGCAGCAGCGGCAGCCAAAAGCGAAATCATGAAGGGAGACAAGCTTGGGAGACAAGGCGGCAGGCAGCCAAAAGCAAAATTATGAAGGAAGACAAGCTTCACAGACAAGGCGGCAGCGGCAGCCAAGAGCGAAATCATGACGGGAGACAAGCTTGGGAAACAAGGCGGCAGCAGCAGCGGCAGCCAATTTCCGCAATCAGGAGCCCATCCATGGAGAAGTAAGAACCCCCTATAGCTTCGCTATCTGGGGAAAAACAGAGTCCACATCTTCTCGCCACGCTTCGCTGGCTTCTTGACCTTCTTCTTGCTGCTGCTCTTCTTCTTTTCCTCTTTGCTGCCTGGAGCATTCAGGAAGGGGCCACCCTTGCTGTGATGCCTTGTGATGCTCTTTATCCAAACGGTTAGCTCGGTTGGTGGCCTTCCCCAGACTTCACACTCTCGGCTTTGGAAGCCGAAGCCGGACTGCCAGCTGCGGATCTTGCCGATCTCCCCAATACCCGAAGGCCAGGGTAGGGAGAGCAACTGGTTTGTTTCTCATGAAGTGAGCAAGTCCGAGACCACATGACTGGTATGACCTAGTCAGCCTCTCATCTGTGTCGGGCTGCAGCCCGACCTATCCCAACTCACTTGTCCCAACAGTAGCTCGAAGTAAAGTAGTGTCATGCTTCGTCGGAAGGAAAGACCGGTTCAGAACCGGAAAAACAATCAAGGCCATGATGATCAATCCGCAGCTGCCCTTCACATCTAGACTCTAGACTCCAGAAGGCCCTTCACGTCTAGACTTCTTAGACCACCTAAGCCCACCGTCGTTCCCCCCTGGACACCCCCCGCTCCGCCGTGGGCACCGGAGCCTCTGGAGGTTTCGGACACCGCACTGCCGGCCCAGCTCGCCGTGCCGTCGCTCGCTGTGGCGCTGTGCCGGGACTCGGCCATCGGCCGGTCGATCGAGGGGCCCGGGGGGATGGGAGTGCTGAAGCCCGAGCGCCCACAGTTGCCAGAGAACCTCTTGGCTGAGCCGACAGGTTTCGAACCGTTTGGACGGTGTTTTTTCGAACAGGCCCCTTCCGACCAACATATCGTTGATTAGGTCGCGGGTGACATATGCCCACCGTGACCCTATAGCGACACGACTTGAACAATTCATCGCAAGAATGATCTCGTACACACGAATCGATGCACTCAACAGTTCAAGAATTGAGATGGTAGCTTTGATGGACGAAGGGATGGCTCCGCACGGAACGAGTCAGCAAGGGAACCCGAGGCAAAGTAATCTAATGCAATGCAATTTAATGTGATGTGATGTGATGTACAGTATATAATCTAATGTAATGTAGAATAATGTATGCACAACATATACTGACAGTATATGACAGTATGTAAATCCTAATGAATCATATGTGCCCAATTTCAGTCCTGGCAGTCAAATCAGTAGAAGGTTCACGCCTCTGCCCCCCACCACCCTACACCTCTGCTCAAAACCTCCCCCGGTACCCCCGTCGCAGACCGAGGACCGAGGTCTTCTTCACCACCCCGTCCATGCTCGTATCAAGGTCCTCCAGTGGTGACCCGAAAACAAGGGAAATGCACCACGATCCGCATCATGGATCATCTCCATAGCACGATGAATTAGAGAACACATATATTTAAAACAAAGAAAACACGAATGCAAAAGGCTGCGATCTTGTTGAGAACAAAAAAATACTATCCGCCATTCCTTACAAGTTTCCGGCAACTTCATGGCCTGCCGTGCCGCAGCTTCAGGAGAGAAAGTGCATCTACTGCAGCCCTGCTTTCTGCGTGAAAAGTGTGCCTGGAGAAGGTTGGGGTCGCTGTGGCTCTTGGCAAGATCCAGGTCATCCTTGGTTCCACACACAGCTGAGTTCGGCGGGGTCCAGGTGACGAGCCACGCAAGCTTCGCTCCGATGTCTTTTCTTACACGTTGGAGGTCAGGTTTGGAGGTCAAAAGAGGGCAGAACGGACCCCGACGCGCAACTCACAACTAAGGCCAGGTTCTAGCTGATGAGGATGATGTTTAGTAAAGACCTTTGATGCTGGGACACACCCGAAGCATCCATCGAGCCCGCACGTAACTCGAGCCCCCCGGCATCTGGTGAAACCTCAAAGCTCGGGACGGCACAAGTGCAGCCACACGCGCTGACCACAAATCCGGAGTCAAGCCTCCAGCTTTGTGTCCTTTTTTGGGTTTGGGTGCAACCAGGAATGGAGTGCGGAAAGAAGTAGGCATTCCCAACTTGTTTATAAAAAGTTGCTGATGATAAAAACATGACTCGAATTGTCTTAACTTAACTATCCTCTTCATCGAGTTTCGTCTCTGTTTCTATGCTTTACACAATAACTATATGATATAAGGCCTAAACAGTTCAGGCCCAGGGCAATGCCCCACCACCTAGGGCCACCTGAGAGCCTGATCACCACAGCACCACTCGCTTCAGGAGTTCCCTGGGAGTTCCGCCGGGCTTCGTTGGAACAGTAGCGCGAACGATGGAGGTTTGAACGATGGACGTTCGTTGCTAAGCGAAGATGCAACATTCCGAACAAACACATCAACATGCACTTGATTGCTCCTGGGGCGAGGGAGGCTCTCAAGATGAGAGCATTGAAGCCTCCACCTCCGCACGGAAAACCTCCGTTCTTGGATCCCGGGCTGGCGACCTTTCCCTGGGCGCGACAACGTTCAACCTGAACCCCGACCTTTTAAGACAAAGAACCAACTGGGAGTCAACTTATACATCCTGGAGTCTCCCATCGAAAACACCGGCACCAAAATGGTTTCCGAATCTGCACCCCGGTCACCAGCTAAGCTGGGCCTCCAAAAGGGGTTTAGGGTTTAGGGTCCGACTGTTGGGGCACCAGCTCGGATCTAGAAATCCAGATTGACTGGAATGTTCGAGATCCAGGTCCAAAGCCTGGATACCCAAGACTGGGTGTCATCCACAAGATTCATGATTCCATGCAAGGGCTTCTCAGCCCGATGGAACACCGAGCCCCCCTCCGATCGTCCCCTCTCACAGCACATGGCGCTGTAACTGGGCAGTTGTGGTTCAGTCGAGACCGCTTTTTTGGGGGCTAATAGAAGGGGGTGAGCAGACCAGGAGGTCGAAACATCATAGCGTTTCCTTGCAGGATAGAGTGGGCACCAGGATGCTGTCCAAATGTGTGGATTTTATTCAATGGGCTTGATTGATGCACGAGTGCCTCTTCATCCCACCAAGCCCCTAGAGGCCAAGCTGCTCGTCCGTCCCCTCCGTCTCTTTCTGGGGCGTGCCTGCGCAGCGCGGCCGAGCTCGGCCGAGCTGATCGGCCCAGGTCCAACTACCAGGGGGATCGGGGGATCGCCGTTCCTGGCGTCCAAAAAAACAACCTCCCGGCAATTGGTTCTTAAAGAAGGTGGCCCAAAACAAGGAAGGCCGGGAATGTTCAAAAACCACACAAACCGCTGGCCTGAGAGAGATGACCCCTGGCCTGCGAGAGAGGACTCGGCTTCCATCTTCTGAGATAGATCTTCTCCCCCTTCCTGATCAGATCGATCTTTCGACGGAGCAGATCCGTCGTACTCGGTCCTCGACCGACAGAATGCAGCTCAAACAGCAAAAACATGCAAAAACCTTAGACCGAAACCCGACCATATCTAAGTGGGTGTGAGGGTCCTCATTCCTCTTAGGAAAATCTGGGACGTATGTGTAATGTGACTTCATCTATGGCCCTTTGGGTGCCGTTCACCTAGCAAATGTGTCTTCTGAGCCGGCCCTTGAGTAGGGTCCATGTGAAACCCAGATCTCACTTGTACGTGCCGAATGATTCGAAGTCATGCCCCGTGTCTTTCAACCGACTCGGACTGGCCAGAACCACCCTCATGATTGATGACAAGGGAAACCTTGATCTCAAACAGGACAATTGGAAGTCCATGGGTGACTATCCAATCCGGGGGGAGTGGAAGGGCAGCAGGTCTCCCGCCGGCCGGGCCGAGAAAACGCCCCCCCCAACATCCACGGCGTCCGCTGCCCCCCCCGGTCGGTGTGGACTGAGGCCGCCGGCCAAAGCGTCGCGGTGCAGGACCTCGGTTGAGCTGTGGAGGGAAGGGTGCCAGTTGCCATAATTGGCTGTCCCAAAAGAAGGTGTTGAAACGAGATGTTGAAACGAGCCTTTTTTCCAAAAAAAATCAGGTGTTGAAACGAGCCTTTCTTCCCCCAATGCCATCCATTCAGCCTCGTTCACGCTTAAGAAACGGGTCGTCTTTTTCTCCCATCGGATGGTCCCATTCCACGACCCACGTTCCCTCCAACTGCGGAGTGTCCACCGACCAACGCCTGGAAGCGAAAGGACTCCTCGAAGCGAAAGCGCTGTCGCGCTTGGGTCCCCCACGGGCTGCTGCCTCAGTGGCAAGGACGATCGGAGCGTCGCTTCCCAGCGGCTTCGCCACCGATCCGGTGACCCACGTGGAAGAACGACAGGAGAGGTTTGACGTCAGGGCCGGGGCGGGCCGGGGGAGAGATGCACCGAATGGGTGTTGGGTTTGATCCTGTTTTTCATCCCTTCCTCCAGGAAGGCCTTCCAGGCCAGGCAACGCCTTGCAGTAACTGTTGACCCATTCAATTCAGGCAACCACAAAAAAGTAAAGGATCTCCAGTCGTGCCTTCTGAGGTTCGGTACGACTGGATCCCTAATGGCAGGTTCCACAAGCATCTGGACCCCACACCGAAAACGAGGTACCATCAATCCTGATGTATATATATATATATATATAGCTGGAAGGACGTGTCCTCACCCAGCTCCAGTGTTGCCCTCCTGCTGCAAACAGACCCTCTCAGCCACCCCAAAGACCAAACATGCTGCGGTCGCCCGACGGGGTCCGATCCCCCGCGGAAGATCCCGGCGCGATCCCCGGGACGCTGCCAAGAAGCTTGGAGACTGACGTCCGAGGGACAAAGCCTGGAACAAATTGGCATTGGTCTAAACACCAGGGTGCCAAACACCCCGATCATCTGCGTCACAGCCCTGGGATGCCTGCGGGTGAAGTATATATATATATATATATGTGCCTAGGTTATATAAATCCATCTGTCTTGTGCTGGGTCCGGAAAATCACCACCCTGTGGAATGGAAACAGCACGGGCAGATTCATGGCCGTTCTGAAGAAAATAATGTTCCTGTGCTTATACTGTACAGCTGCATGTGCTCAGCCAAACCTTAGCTCGTTCCTTGCAACGTCCGGATGTTCTCTTCTACGGACCTTGTTGCCCATTTTGCCAGTGGGTTGTCAGGAGACTCCGTTTACGTCATTCGTGTTGGGTGTCCCTGGCTCCTACCACATTTGGCGTGAAGGAGGGAAAGGCCAACTAGAATGGTTGACCTGAGTTGATTTCACAAGCTACAGGCCAGTCACGAAATGCAGGTGTCAAACATTTCGGAGTGGCAAAGCTTGCGTCCAAAACCAAGGGCCATGTTTAGTCCGTCTAGGCACTACAAAAGGAACACAGAGGCCCTCTTTGTTGGTTACTATATATTACACATTTATATACCAGCATCAATGAAAGACCCTGCACTACTTATGGAATCTTATGGATCTCCAGCCAGGACGCCCCTGGAAGATCTTGGAAGGTGCAGGTGCAGGTGTATGAAATCCGCATAAACGGCACAGTAGCGAGTGAAACTCTACATGTTCGATGGTTTTCGCGGAGTGTTTTTGCACATTCCAACCGAATTGCATGTATAGATTTCATGTGTTTCATTTTTGTTATATAAGTGTGTTTTGTGTGTGTGCTAACTTTTTGCCTAGGTTTGTGTCTACATCATCTTGGTACCGTGACTTTTCTCATGTTTGCCCGACCCAGCACCTACGCCGTTTCCTCAACATCGCACGCCTTTCGGGCAGCTGGAGCTGGCATCTTGACAAACCCATCCATTCTCAGCCTGGAGCGGGACACATGACCGGCGCAGCTCGCTGCGCGGGGGCGGTCGACCGACGTCGCCAGCGCTCGGAGCGCGGATGGGCCGGCACCGATGTCCCGTCTCCGCCACCGCTGTCCCGGCGGATTGGCACCTGGCACGCCTCGACCGCAGCGTTCTGAGCACACACAGCGCCCATGGTGAGGAAACGGTGAAGAACAGTTTTTGACCGTCGTGTGATGCCCATGGCAAACACTGTCTCAGCGGTTTCTCTGGTGGTATATAGGTCCCTCTTTGTGATCTAGTGCACCTAAGATCAATGGACGAAGGCTTCATGAACAGAATCACTGATGATGCTGCTAGGAGGGGAAAAGAATTAGGTGGGAAGATTCGGAGTTACTACCCTTCAGCATCACCTTGTCCCCAAAAGCCAGTTGTGCAAATCACATCCCCTGCGTTATCCTGCGTTATCACCCGGAAGCTCGTTGTGTCTTGCGCTGCAGGGGCTGTGCTCCGCAACAGCCCCGCTCGGGCCATCGGACGGCGGTTCGGCTTCGGCCATGGTTCCCGATCGACGAAGGTCGGTTCAGATGCCATGGTTTCGGAGTAGATGGCCAAAAAAGAATCGAATGATGGGGGGGGTCCATGTGGCTGCACATGGAACATGGACATGAATTGACATAATGAACTATGAAATGCTCGGCTCTATCTTCAGCCAATATTCAAGCACCTGCCCCTGGTTGCAACGCGTCCGATTGGTTCAAACATGGGTACCGCATGGATGCCCACGCTCCTGGAGATAGGCGACTCGACCTGGTTCTTGTCACGGGCAGTTGGCTTTAACATGCATTTGGACAAACTTCATGGTTGGTCTGGCAACAGCTGGGCCAGCTTGACATGGAGAAGTGGGGCATCAGCCACAAGATCCCACAACAACCGACCGCCACAGATCGACCGTGACAATGCAGCGGCGCGCACTCTCTCTCTCTCTCTCTCTCTCAGGCGTTTCGTGGTTCCGAAGCAGATGTGGGGGCATTGGCCAAGACCCTGTGCCACCTCGGCCGCAACATGAACGCACCATTGAACCCCAACCACAATCCAATCCATCTCAACACGTCCCAAATTCCCATCCAAAGGGCGAAGTAGAGCCTCCCATCGACGTCCTCCGGCCCATCCCGGCCTCGGCGTGGCGCTGCAGTTCCTGGCGGCGGAGCGGTTCCGAGAAAAAACGTCGCAAAACACGTCCCGAGTGCGCTGCCTGTGCCGGCTGCCAGGTCTCTCTCTTCCCCCGGCTCTCTGTATGTCTCTGGTGACCTTTTTGCACCATGCAGGGCTTTCCAGGTTCTGCTTCTGGTGGCCCTCCGAGCTCGGCTGTCCAAAGACAGCCGAATCAAAGGACCAGCTCCCAACCGAGTCGAGGCGAGTCGGGCCGGTGGGACCGGCGGACTGGTCTGCCGGGTCGAGTCGGGCTCGTCCTGAAAGGGAAACCTGGGACCCAACAGTCGGACCTGAGTTCATCACGAGTCGACTGAATGCTGCCACGAGAAGGCGTTTCTTTCTCTCCGATGTGAAAGCCATGATGCCTGGTTTACGTGGTCTTGATCTCTTTTCTTGCGGGGGTAACTGCGAACTGAAAGGGCGCGGGTCGGGTCCGGACTATTGGCTCCAAGGTCTGTCCCTTTGGCTTCGTAGGGTGGCCTTTCCATCCAGTCCTGGTGCCCAGTGCCCAGTGTTGGCAACTGGTGCAAGTCAGCGTCCATGGTGCGAAACACTTCCGAAGCGAAACACACAAAAAGGGCCTCCACTAGAAGCGTTGACCTGGCATGACAAGGCTGTCAAACTGGTTACTTGCCTGTCGTGGCATTGGCTCCGGGTGCTTTTCGGACGCTCAACGGGAGATGTGCTTGATGAACAAAAATCCCCTCACCACGTCTCTTGGTCCGCTCCGCTGGAACAAAATACCTTGGTCCACGACCCTCCTATGATCAGCTGTGGTGGTTTCGTGGTGCTTTTCGGATTTTCTCCATCTTCGAGATTCTGGGCAAAATGCATACACAGGTAAGGATCCCCCAGCACTATCAAATCTTCATCGGCGAAATCATCGCAAGTAGACCCGCCAAACGTTGGTAGAAGAGATATATCACCGGCCACTGGCCTCTCTAGATGGTGGAACATGCTCTCACCTGACAAGCAGGAGGACCATATGATTTTGCCCAGATGCTTTCTAATTGTTCACCTCCCAGCCGGGCCGGGAGCACATTGGGAGGAAATCTTCTTCGCTCCACCTCGAGGAGCACCCAGCGGCTGTGTCGAGTCGTCCAGTGGTCATCTGGGGAGTTGGATGGGGTTGGCAGCAAGACCTAGAAAGGTTGAACAGCCATATATATATATATATATATATCGCCTATCCCCATAAGGTCTCTCAACCTCTCTTGGATAAATCGTCGACCCAACAACCCTGGGCGCTCCTCTAGGCTGAGCACCAGGCTCTGGGCTCAAAAAGCCCAGGTTCACCTCAGAGCCCTGCTTCTTAATCCTTCGCTCTTGCCTAGTGACCGACCCCCAGTGTTGCCCCGCGGCTTGGCCGCCGGGGTCCAAACAGGGCATGACGATGGCAGCCCAGCAGAGGTTGACATCACGCGGCGGCAGCGATGTCGGAAAATGCACCGATTCGGGGGGGGGGGCCATCCAGAGCCCCAGTGTCAGATGAAACGCCTCCAGATTCGAGAATTCTTTGGAAAGCACACACTCATCCTTCCTAACTTCCAAACCGATCGTGCCAAACCGATCGTCCAGCTCTTCGTGCCCACGTGGTGGCGCTTCGCACGGACACCGGGCTCCGGCCGGGCGGGCGGCGGCAGATCCGTGGCCTGTGCGGGGATGGTTGGGTGCAGAAAAGGTCCTTTGTGGCGTTGGTTTTGTTGGGGGGAAGGCCAGTACGGACCAAAATAGACTCAACACAATAGATCCACTTTATAGCGACGGACAACCACTTACAGTTTTTCTAAAATCCAAAACCCTCTAAGCAAAAGGACGTGTTTCACAGAATCCGGGCTTAGAACATTGCCATGTTCTCAGTGATTGAGTTAGAACATACTCAAATCATCTCAAATCCCCATTTCTTAGAACATCGTTGTTAAGCATACAGCCGAGAGTCTGCAGACAAGCGCATCTCCACAGAGCGTGTTCATCAAAAGTGCATTCTCTCATGTTCATATCCCTTATGATAATGTTCTAAGAAAGGACACTTTTCCTCAATGTTCTAACTCATTACTTAGAGCGTTGCATTGTTACAATGTTCAGCCTCGCAGAAAGCACATCCCTTACCAGGGCCCAGGGCAACGGTTTTTTGGATGTTCTAAGTGGTTGTCGGTCACTATAAATCACTCTAATATCAATCCACCCGCCTATCTCTCTTTCGTATCCTTGGGCCCCTAACTTAGGGCCCAACCCCCCACCATCCTTTCTTTCGACACACCCAGCGCAGGCCGGTCCCATCGACCGACCTGGCTCACGGCTGCGGGCGTGGGGGCTGTCGTTCGAGGAGGCCCAGGTCGATAAAGGCTGCCGAAGGCATGGAGTTGTAGGGATCATCGCTGCCTCGGCCCGTCGTCCGGCGATCTCGGATCTCGTCCGGCGATCGGATCCATCTCTCGTCCGTCCGCAGGACATCTCTTGTTCTCGGGGCACCGTAGAGTAAAGGATGTCCATCACCATCTAGCTCGACACACACTTGAGATATTGTGTACGGAACTGAATGCGGTGCCACACGCC